TATGGAGGCAGACCCACATCCCTTGTAATCTGTATGAATTTATTTCACTGAAGAGCATTAGCCCAGAGCAGATGTGAGGTGATTTGAAAGCTCTGGTCTATAGTGTTAGATCTGTGATAACCTACCAACCCATGGAAGTCATCACTTGATGTTGCAGTTATCAGTTGAAATAAATAAGGTTGGATGAACCAGCCTTGAAGCATAGGACTAACAACTCAAACAGCATTGGGAAAGTTGGACATATACAAAAAACAGTTCCATTTACATTATATAAATAAAACAATAATTTAACAGATGGATTAATCACCAACTTCCATCTGGAGCTATTTATACAACAGCAAATATTCTTACCTGTATTTCACCTCAGTTAAATATATTGTAAACCCTGTTTTTATTGCCACAATCATATGTGTGTTTTTCAAATCAAATATTCACTGTGGTTTTAAAAAAATAAAATAAAATAAAAACCAAAACATCGTCCACAAGTCTTAACACACTTACTGTAAACCCACTTCACGGAAATACATTGTACATCTCTTATAAGGAGCATTTCGAAATAAATTACATGTAGACACGGCTGAGCTATTTTCTTCCTTTCTCTGGAGAAAACTAGTTTTGCCTCTCAACATCGCTAGGACGTGAAGATTCCTGCAAATGAGGCGTGAAGGTTAGCGGCACCAAAACATGTCCACAAGAAGTGATGGAGAAGAACACTGCAATGGAAGCAGAATCCTTCTACTTGGCAGAACCTAGTGGAACATCGTGCCTAACCTCCTTGGCCAATAATATCCCCGTTGGGTGTGCTGTACTGAGCTCTGCGGGCTTTGTATATGAAAGGATCCGGGGGATGGCCAATTGGCAGCTCAGAGACCACATCAAGCCCCGCCCCTCCTAAACTTCCCTACTGGCAATGGGCCTAATCTTGGCCTCTCTGCTATCCCAGCCTGGAGCTGGCACCACAAAACACAGGATGAAACCACCCTTCTCCTTCCTCTTTGGCCAACATGAGAAGCAGGGCTTGGGATGTGGTGATCAGCCCCGTCACTCCCAGAAGGGAATTAGGATCGTTCCCTAAATTGATTTAGTAGTGGAAGCAGCAGGGGGTGGTGTCAGTTGTAATAGGAGAGGGCAATTTTTTATTAATCTGAGAATTATGGGCAAATTTATTGTTTGAGGGTATTTTGGTTCTGGTGTGTTAACTATTGCCATAGGAATTGCGAGGAGCACAAAATATGTTACGTTGGCTTTTATCAAATTGTAAGCTTTCCTCATCGTTTATGATTCCTCACTTCCTTCAATACCTAGGCAAGACACCTATAGCGAAGCTTTGGTAATATGCACATTTATTTACATTTAATCCACAAATGGATTAAAAGGCAGAGGCTTGTGTTTGTGGAATGAACTTTTCCTTCCTCTCCCCTGCAGGCCTTCCTCCATGTGCACCCTCAGAATCAGCTCTGCAAGTTTGGGGACAATCTGGAGAAGACTGGGGCAGGGGCCGCATGCAGAGAGGAGAGGAAATAGAAGTGCCCCTCTCCTTGAGCTGGTTTGGATACAACCCCAGGTTGTATCCCAGGCATAGGCAAACTCAGCCTTCCAGATGTTTTGGGACTACAACTCCCATAATCCCTAGCTAACAGGACCAGTGGTCAGGGATGATGGGAACTGTAGTCTCAAAACATCTGGAGGGCCGAGTTTGCCTATGCCTGTTGTATCTTCTATCAGTTGACAGCCCAATTTATTATGGATTGCCTCCTTCTGCAGTTTGCTATTTAAAAGTATGGTTTCAAACTACAAATTTAAGCACCGTATTCGGGGTTGCTTTGCTAAGATTTCATGTTTTGCCAACTCTTCTGGGGAGGAATCGGAACCGTTCATGGCTGAAGAGGACCAAATACAAACTTTTTAAAATCTCCACCGGATTTTGGTATTCCATTTAATGAGAGTTCATAGAATAGCAGCCAACAGCAACTGCAGATACCGCAGGGGGGTAAAAGAAACATAGGCATGGGGTGGTTAACTTGTGCTTGGACTGTACCATTCCAGGCTGATTACATTCTACCCCAAACAAAAACTCCCTCCTCATAGAAAGCAGGTGTCAGGAAGAAGGGATCTAGTCTTGCTTTGTCTCCAACATGCTAGCTTTCTATGTGAGAAATCTTTTCTTTTTTTTTAACCGGTAGAGGACCATTCCATCACATGAGCTCCCACTTGCAGTTATAAAATGGTACCGCCTGGGCATAAGTCTACCACCTCAGGGAGAACTAGGCCACACCAAAAACTGTGTGGCCAAGCCTTCGGCAAGCTGATGCTCTCCAGATGTTTCAGACAGCAACGCCCATCCCACATGACTTTCCCAACACATCTGGAAAGTACCAAGTCCCACAAGTTGGGGAAGGCTGCTGTCACCTTTGGATTCTGCTGTTAGCGAACTTCATTCACTGAGCCACGCACCAAGTTGTGAAGACCTTGAGGCCCTACAGCACTCGGAATGAGCAGGGAGAGCCATCAAATGTTGCAAGCGAAGCATGTGGATGGTGCCATTATATGGTCAAGTCACTAGGTGGCAGAGGAGTTTCCTGCTGTTGCTCTGTTCTCCTTGAAGAGAGATAACAATGCCCCCCCTAACGTCAGGGGCTGATGTGTCTCTTAAGCCGTGCATAGGCAAACTCGGCCCTCCATATGTTGAGACTACAACTCCCATCATCCCTGACCACTGGTCCTGTTAGCTAGGGATGATGGGAGTTGTAGTCCCAAAACATCTGTAGGGCCGAGTTTGCCTTTGCCTGCTCTAAGCCTTCCACTACCAGTGGTGTCCAAACTTTTTTTAAAAAGGGCCATATTTGATGAAATAAAGGGCCGTGAGGGCCGCCCAAAGGGCCAACCAAACTTGTTGAGCTTTTTTTAAGGTGTCAAGGTTTTTTTAGGATTTTACTCCAGGAAATAAACTGCCAAAGGGCCCCCAAAACAGACTTTGGGCCGACTGCAACTCATGTCAGATTCTGCAAAACAGAATTACAAGCCATTTTTGACTTGTGGGTCTTATGTTGCCCACACCTGTTCCAGAAAGTCAAAGTGGATGAATTAACTGACTATTTTGGCCAAGCACAACCCACCCCACTTATTTGGAAATCCTGTGGCTGCTACCATTAAGGGAGGGTTGTTACTCTATGGAAGAAGAATGGCAGCTTATTATCACCCTTCCTTAGCCCGGCCTTCCTTAAGAAAGCTAAGAGCAGCTTGCCTATGGCTCCAGCCACTGTCCAGACTGAGACCCGCTGCTTTGCCTTAACAGTGTAATGGCATCGTGCGGCCTCAGGCTTTTCTCCTGGGCAAGATGGTGGGGAACTTGACCACACACAGGGCTGCTTCAGGAAAGAGCAAGTTACGTGAAGCAAGCATTTGAGCTTGGATCGAGAACGGCAAAACAAGCCACTCTATGTCATGCAGGGGCTCAATTGCTGTACAGTGGTACCTCGGGTTACATACGCTTCAGGTTACATATGCTTCAGGTTACACACTCCGCTAACCCAGAAATAGTGCTTCAGATTAAGAACTTTGCTTCAGGATGAGAACAGAAATCGTGCTCCAGCGGCACAGCGGCAGCAGGAGGCCCCATTAGCTGAAGTGGTCTTCAGGTTAAGAACAGTTTCAGGTTAAGAACGGACCTCCGGAACGAATTAAGTACTTAACCCGAGGTACCACTGTATTGTATTATTGCTCAAGGGTAAGAAAAACCACTGGGAGCATTGTGGGCCTAGCGGTGGCCACTGTTTCCCTGCCCCCCCACTACTCCCCTGGGGCCTGGACCAGACAGACATGAGTTTGAACCCCTCACTCATGTGTAAAGCTCGTGGCATGACCTTGCGCCACTCTCCCTCAGCCCGAACAAGGAAAGCAAAACAGAACAACCCTCCCGTACGCTGTCTGGAGCTCCTTGAGGGAAAACTGAGGTGCAGATACAATATAGCTAAATGGCTGCAGATGTGCTGACCTTCAAGGCAGAAAACTAAGTCACTGTGGTGCTTTGCTGCAGCGCTTTCTGCACCACTAAAGTAGCCATTCAGCTGCATGGAAAAGGAAGTCGAGGGGTGAGCCCTGAGCCTCCATCCTGCCTTAGCTACCCAGAAAAGGCAGTGCTGATAACCACCCAGTCCTCCTGCCGTGCAGCTGGAGGGCATCTGCACTGTCTTCTCCCAGAAGGCGAGTGCAGGAATCAATCACAACAGCTGCCCGTCTAGGCCACCAGCAGAACGCAGCTTACAGAGACCTCCAGATCGCTCCTCCCTACTTCCTGTTCTAGGTGGTAGTAGGCAGGAGAGGGAGGTGGGCATCCAGTCAGATTCCTCCCAGCTGTTTAGTCCTTGCAGAAGTGGCATGGTGAAATTTGTGCCCTGGCGTCAAAGGAAGAACACTCGGCTCAGTGCATTTAGGGCTTCCACAAATCGTTTTCTAATTCTATTCCCGACCCTTCACTCTCGCTAGATAAAGGGATTTATTAAGGTGCCAGGCAGAAGGAATTCTTCCAAACGTAAGTAAGCAAAACAAGACTTAGGATGAGTGAAATGCCGGACTCAATTGAAAAGATGCTCTTGGGAAAAATAAAGTGCCACATCTACAATCAAAGTCCTGGAAATGAGGCAGTTAAATTATTCTATATATTTACGTATTTATATCATCTATTAAATATATCCTTGCCCAAATGAATAGGGAAATATATTGTGATTTAAGCAATGGGTGGGACCAACGGCGCAATCCTAGGCTTGTCTGTTCAGAAGGAAACCCCTCCAAGTTTGACAGAATTAAGCCTGCAATCCTAGGCCCACTAACCTGGGAGCAAGTCCTGTCAAACTCAGAGGACTGAATTTTGAGCAGACAGGCCAATGATTGTGCGATTAATCTCTATCTGTAGTAGCCCAAAGCTGCCAGATCTTGCATTATGCATTTATAAATAGATTAGGTTAGATACATACATATATCTCTATATCATATATGGGCTCTTAGTAGAGCTGTTTGCTTTTTTTACTGATCTTTGATTTCGCGTTAACCTTGCGGGAGGCACCGACGGCGTCCCCTTTCTTCTGAGGTCTCCAAACGTCCCTCGCGCAGTCAACAGGTTCATAAAACAATTTAACTGGGTGGGCGCAGGATTTGTCCTCCTTGGCTTTCTTCAAGTGCATCCGTCCTTTCTGAAGAGAGTGAGGTTTCACATCAGGGGTGTTATAGTAACCGTGTTGGTTTCCTCGGCTGCTGCTGAGGCGAAGAAAAGGGGTCAGATTTAACAGAGAGAGCCCAGGAACAAGAGATGCACAATTTTAACAGCAACACATTTGTACAAAATATTTTGTATTAAGAGTATGAAATAACATACATACAGGCATCTGGGTTTCTTGCTGGATGATATATCTGTAAACTAAAACATACACGCTCGTTATTCAGATTGACGTGACATATGGAAATAGCTCGTTTTTATTCATTTATTTGCTGACTTAGATAAGTAGACAAATGCAAAAAACAAACAAGATCTTCCTAACAGCAAAGACAACCCAAGTCTCTTCAGTCCTGGGTCTAGCAGTCCCCCAACCTGTGCACATCATCATATAGAGGCCTATAATCAGGAATGTGTGTAGCTTTGTGTTAAAATAATAATAATAAATTTATATTCTGCTATTCAAATTTTGCACTGACTGGCTGAACTCTGCAGCTTTTGTCTTGCAACCTGAATCTTTACTTAAAGTTCAGTGGGGCTTGCTTCCAGGAATGAAAGCACTGCAACTATACAAAATGAGCAAACATTAGTTATTTTGCATCTGTGATATTTCCTATTTTGCATAATCTATCCGGGTCTTCTTATTCAGGTGGCCGAGTCAAAAAGTTATATAGGGCCTGAAGCTGAAAACTCTTGATTTCTGGAACTCTCTCTCAGCTACTTCTGTGCAGGCATAACCCACGTTTATCCAAACTTGTATTTGAAACCATAAGAACTAGAAACTCTTTTTAAAAAAATAAAAATAAAAACTGGGATTCTCACAATGGTGGGGACTGACTATTTTCTGTCCTTCCAAGAAATTCTCCCTCTTTCTCTTTCTCCCCCTCACACAAGCACACAAATAAACACACACAACCTGCCTGTACTCAAAGCTTAGCGTATTTTTCGCCCTATAGGATGCACTTTTTCCCCTCCAAAAATGAAGGGGAAATGTGTGTGCGTCCTATGGGGCAAATGCAGGCTTTCGCTGAAGCCTGGCGAGTGAGGGGGGTCAGTGCGCACCGACCCCTCTCGCTCTCCAGACTTCAGGAAGCTATCCGCTAGCCGTGGGAGACGCAGCTCTCCCACGGCTAGCGGAGAGCTTGCCGGCACCCAGAAGCTTGGGGCGCACTGAGCTCAGCACGCCCCAAGCTTCGGGTTTCGTGCAGTCCTCCGCTAGCCGTGGGAGAGCTGCCCGACTTCGTGTAGCTCTCACACGGCTTGCGGAGAGCAGCCTGTTCTGGGGGCTGGGGTCGGGGGAAGCTCGGGCTTCCCCCGCCCCAGCCCCGCACCTGGGGGGGAAATAAAAATTTTTTTCTTTATTTCCCCCCAAAAAACTAGGTGCGTCCTATGGGCCGGTGTGTCCTATGGGGTGAAAAATACGGTATATGTTGCGATGGGGGGGGGGAATGGCCAGTAGGAAGCTACAAACAGTTTTAACCCATAGTCTCTGTTTAATCCAGTCCTTTGCCTACCACAAGGTCATGAATTTTAATTTTCTGGCATGCCTTATAGATGTGTTGTACAACTAGTCCAATAAAAGATATCACTTTTCTTATTTCAATAACAGCTTTCAGGGCATTTACCTCTGACAAGCTTTTCATTTGCTATTTTGCGTCTCCTGAACAAATTAGCAGTCACGGCTCATTTGCAGCCGTGTGACTATACCAGCAGAACGCATGTGCACCCTCAATTATCACGTTTCCTTGTTTATGCTTGTTTACTGCTACCTTTTTTTAATAAAAAAGGGTGTGTGTGTCTGATGCTCAAGAAGGAATTTGAGCTGTGAACTGACATTTTTTCAGAGACTCAATGGAGGTATGATAAGAGTTATCATTGCCTGCAGGTACACATGCAGTCCCACAGTTGTCTCTGATTAAACAGACTTTTCTCATATTTGAAGCATTACCTTTTTTTTAAACCAGAAACCATGATGGGAGCTTAGATGGCTTTCTAAGGCGGCTGGACAAATTCATGGAGGATAAAGCTATCAACGTCTGCAAGTCATGATGGCTGTATGCCCCCTTCAGGTTCACAGCACATGCCCCTGAATGCCAGTTGCTGCAGATAATGAACTGGAGAGGGCTACTGCCCTCATGTCCTGTTTGTGGGCTTCCCAAGGGCATCTGGTTGGCCACTGTGGGCAGGGGCAGACCAAGGTATTTTGCCGCCTGAGGTGAAAGACAAGACGGTGCCTCCCTGCATTCCATGTACCAAAGCTGATTCGCCTGGTAGTCTAATCTTACTTCATACCAGGACAGCATCCTCCACCTGAATACACCTGACTTAGCTTAAGGTTTCAGGGCAGACCAACACCTCATTGCTGCTGTCAATCCCACATCATCTGCCGCCTGAGGCACCACTTTTCCTAATGGCAGGGCCGGCCCTGAATGTGGAAAACATGATGCTAAGCTACTTAGGCATTTGGTCTGATCCAGCAGGATGCTTCTTACGGGATGGTGGGGGAGAGAGGGGATGAACGTATACACATAGGCAACAATAGCTCTATCTTGAATTGCAACCCAAGGATGAAAGATGTACTTTCAAAGGCTAAGGAGTAAACCCTACACAATCTGCAGTGGAGTCCCTAAGATGGTGCCTTGTACGCCTCTTTCCAACAACTCTTGCAGCCAAACTGGTGCCCAAAGTATAGCTTCGTTTTCCTTTGGACCACATCAGCAAAGCTGAGAGGGGGCTCTTGTCAACTGGGCAGAGGTCTGACCCCCAGAAGCACACTCCACTGTCTCTCGAGACAGATGCCAAACTGAACAAACCATATAGCAGAAATTGCCACTGCAACCCCTGCTCCACTAGAAATAGCGCTTGGATCAGCCTCCCCACCCCACCCCGGTGTACCCTAGATGCTGTGGACTACAATTCCCATCAGTTCCACTTCCTGTTCAGGTCTAATGAAAGAACACCCCCCTCATTTTTTGCCTACCACATATTCATGGACATCGCTGTAGCTGCCCACGATCTGCTGATTCTGGTAGTACTCCAATTGCTTTTCTGCCAGATCCACCCGCTGCAGGAGATTCTCAATGAAACGCTGGAGCCTGGCTTTGCCGCGAAGCTCCTTCTCAGCAGCTTCCTCCAGGAAGTGATTAAACGTAACGACTTCTCTGAAATGACAAAAGTGCAGCTCTGCTGGAATTTGAAAGAACACTGGCGCTTCCTCCTTTTTGCTAGAGAGCAGAAAGAAAGAACGGACGGGTGCTACTTTTTAATTTAGGGACACTCTTGCCTGTGCTGTGAATATATTCAGAACCACTTGAACTTCTCAGAACCACTTGCACATAGCCAAATAAGCGGACAACACTGGTGCTGGGGAGCATCCTTTAGAGAGGACAGCCCTTCAAACACAAGGGTTTAAAGATAAAGGCCTTGAAGTTGCCATCAACATTAAGCAACTGGGCCACAGACTGAGCAGACACACAAGCTCACCAGGTCTCAGTCTTCTCCAGTATGGTGAAACTTACCATGTTTTTATTTCAGTTAAAGTCATTGTTTCTAAATACGCATCCATACAGATATAGTGACATATGCAAATAATATGCAAATATCTGTTCTTTTGAGTGTGAGAGGCATTTCCTTTGGCGGGGGGCGATGAATAAGTGATCACCTTAATGCTTCTAGAAATAACAATACATTGAAGGGTCTTTTCAGACAATAAGAAGCTTATTTATTTTGTGCCACAATAATTTGCCCCCTGTTTGAAAATGGGAAATACAACCTCTGGCACCTGAGAGGCATCTTAAGCCTGCAATTAGAGTTTTCCCATTCCAGAGGAGCTTCTCTTTGCTTTTCCTGCTGAATTTTGTGGAATCTGAATGCTTAAATGTGCACGGAAAGTCTCCTTAATGGGACCCAGGCACTCCTCTAGAATGGGGCCTTTCTTGAAGTGAGAGATGGTTTCAAAGGATTTTATGATGACATTATGCAGTTGTTTAGAGTGTGAGCATCATTAGCAAAAGCTGAACCAAGTAAGAGGTGCAACAATGAGAACCCAATTAATCAACAAAATCCATTCCAAGTGTTCAGCAATATCTTGATTCCTCTTCTAGAGAATTAGCAGGAGGTTCAGCAACAAAATCCAGCTGAAGTTAATAAGCATTCCCACTAGAATGCAAAACTGAACAAAAACCCCATTATGTCTTGAGGAACATAACCAAGAACATACTCAAACCACATCTGCACTATACATTTAAAGCACTATGATACACTTGAAACACTCACGGATTCCCCCAAAGAATTCTGGGAGCTGTAGGCTGTTATAGATACTGAGAGCTGTTAGGAGACTCCTATTCAGCCCCCAGAGTTGTAATTCTCATGAGTGGTTTAACAATCGATCCCTCTTCCTAGGGAACTCTGGGAACTGTAGTTCTGGGAAGGGAACAGGGGTTCCCAACAACTCTCAGCACCTTTAACATACTACAGTTCCCAAAATTCTTTGTGGGGAAGGCTGCTTAAAGTGGTATCACAGTGCTTTAAATGTGTTGTGGGAATGCGGCCTCAGTGTGGTAGAAGAGATGCCTCTGAAAGACTGTTTTCCTTTTAAAAAGGGGGCTGGTGATTGATTGATTGATTGATTGATTGATTGATTGATTTATGTGTTTGTGTGTGTTAATACTGATCTTTGCAGTGATATATGGAAGAAAAAGTGAATTGTTTTGTAGCAATCCCAGAATGCACGCACAGACACCCAAGAGACCAATTTGCTTGGAGCAGAACTGACTTCTCTGTACCCTCACTGGGCAAATATGCCAGTAAATATGCCAGTTGTTCAGAGACAGCCAAGCCATGCATATACAACTGAATGTGCAACTCTCTTTTCCTGCCTTTCTCCCTCCTGTCCTATGTTGAACAGTAATCTCTCCAAAGGTTGGGAATGTATTTTGCTGACTGTAAGCTTCTTTGAGAGTGGCTGAGTGAGTGGCCGGGAAACAGCATATAAATACAATAACAGTGATAATTATTATTATTTATCTGTCCAAAGGCCCACATATGTTGCTGCCACAATATAAAGGGCTTCACTAGCATTCCCATTTGTTGCCATTCTTTCTTCTTATCTCAGCTGCACTCTATCTATCTTAGGCTGTTGGTTTCAACTCCCTCTTGCTCTTTACAAGACCTGTGACAAAAGATGAATGTGGCTCCAGCCTTATGCAATGCATTCTGGGATGTCGTATCCACACAACAAGCTGTTAGGAGCGGAGCTGTATGGGTTTTGGATTCTCCATGGGTTTCCTCACAGAGGGCAGTCCCAAAACACCAGCGCAGTGCAAGCACAAGGCAGGCAACCAAAGGCCAAAAGGGAATAAATAACCTTCATGGTACACAGTTTGCTCAGCTTCATGAGTTTGCAGCATTCCCTGAGAAGAGAAACATATCGACTTCTTCTTCTCTTGTCCCCTGCAGGACTTTGTCTGAAAAACAAGGCCATTCTTTAACACGTTAAGTGTGGGGAACCTCTGGCTCTTCTGACGTTCTTGGACTACAATTTCCATCATCCCTGACAGTTGGCAATGCTGACTAGGCCTGATGGGAATTGGAGTCCAGCAACATCTGAAGGCCCACATCTTCAATTGAGGCAAACTGGGAAGAGGATGGAGAACTCCAATATAAGATTAAAAAATCAGGTTGGCTCTAGGCGTGCGTGGAAACTCATTGTGGTTGGTTGTTTGCTAGCTGTTTCTAAGAATTTTTCATGATGCTATATAATATATCTTATGTCTTATCCTGCGCTGGTGTTGGTACTAATGGAGGGCAAGCTAGGAATTTTTAAAATGAATAAAGAACACCCCCTTAAAAAAAGGAAACCAATACAGATTTTTGAGCTTTAATTGGCATAATAAGTATTAGAAATGTGAATCCTTTTACCTTCCCAGCAAAAAGCTCCCTAACCTATATTTCTGCAATTTGTCAGGCTTATCCACTCTGAAGAGACACCAGTGGATTCCATCCACTTTGGCCCAAAGAGGGGGAATTTATGGACATTTTTAGATTTCCCCCATTATAGTGAATGGGGCACATACAGCTTCGTTTTACAGAGTGGCTCAGAGCATGAAGCATAAATCAAAGCAGAGAGAGCACAGTGTGACTTGGAAGTATATTGGGATTTTTAAAATAGCACAGGTATCTTGGAGACCGTGAACGTCCCTAGTATTGCATATAGAACTGCAGCCTAACTTACTAGTTGGCACATTTAGGATTGCTGTCTTAAACATCTGAGCTATAGGGCTAGCTAATTTTAACAACAGCAGCACCGTACATTTAATTTGAAAATATTCAGGTATTTTGAATTGCTTGAAGGGTGTCTAAGAGTGCTAACCAAGACCGCAGTCTTTCAACCATTTGCTCCATATTCCTTCTACTGGTGTTGATGAGGAACATCAGAGAGTGGGCAATCTGAGGACTGCAGTCTTAAGTAGTTCACATATAAATAATGTATTGGCAATTACTACATTTTTAATGAATGCAACATGAAAGTATTTTTAGATGAGCTGGAACTGCCAAAATATATTCGGTATCTGCTATGAAAGCCAGCAGGAAACCAGATTATGACTCCTTCCAAGAGACGATCCCCTCAAATGCTGTTTGCACCACTTACTTTCCAATGAACTGAGGGTGGGAAGGGGGTACTTGAAAACAAGACATTTATGTCTTTACCTCCAGTTCTGAAGCTAAAGCACATACCCTTATTTATAGAGTAGCACCTTCCTGTATAAGTAATCTTACCAGATGCCATGAGAGCATAAATGTCTTTACCCTTATTGCACAGCCAGTTTAAAAGATCCATCTAATAAATTTGGATTGCTTGGATGATGCATGAATTAGTATACCCTGATGCGTGCCTTCTTCGCATCTAAAATCAATGGGCCTATGCTTCAAGGCAGAAATCGTATGCTTTCTAAAGAAGCTAGGTGCCCACTGGGTTGTGGAGAAAAGAAGACACAGGTGTGAAAGAGATGGGGAGCAGACATATAGTGAAACATTGGTGGGAAACCTGTGGCCCTCCTGAAGTTTTTGGACTTCAGTTCCCATCAGCCCCTGCCAAAATGGCCAATGGCCGGGAATAACAAGAGTTGGAAATGCCAGCAATTTCAGAAGAACCACAGGTTCCCTATCCATTACAGAAAGAATAAATGTATTAGCCGATAGACATGTAAACAGCCAAATTCTGTGCATAAAGAAGTCCAGGTGTGATCTGCACTCCTACGGGCTCTCATGCACATGTGAAGTACAAGCTACACAGGAAGGTTCTTGCTCTCATCTGTGTCACAAAAGATTATGTGTGTAGAATTTCTTGGTTGTTGGTAAGAAGGCAGGGAAGTGGGAGCTGTCTGAGGGCAGATTGAGGTCCATGGGCCAGTGCCTCACTCACCCTAATGGACCAGACACCAGTGAATACTGGCCTTCCTCTACCATACCTTGCCTCGCAAGTCTTCCTACAACAACCTCACCCCAAACTCCTGTGACAGACAGGAATGACACGAATTATGCTACTTCAGAGGTTGAGGGCCACACTGCGGCGCCCAGAGCAAAAGTGGGCAATGCAATAAATGCATTTTCTACCACTGTACAATAGGTGACCATACACTTCAACATTCCTCCAATGAAAATAGGGATGTCCTATATAATAATAATAATAATAATAATAGGACAACCCTATTATTATTAATCTTTTACTATTTATACCCCACCCATCTGACGGGGTTGCCCCAGCCACCCTGGGCGGCTTCCAACATATATAAAAATATAATAAAACATGAAGCATTAAAAAACTTCCCTATACAGGGCTGCCTTCAGATGGCTCAGGGGTCGGATAACTCCATACCCTCCAACATTTCTCCAATGAAACTAGGGAAATCCTAAGGAAAAGCAGGGCATTCTGGGATCAAATCAGAAACCAGGGTGGCTTCTGTAAATCCGGGGCTGCTCCTGGAAAATAGGGGCACTTGGAGGGTCTGGGTTACTTTCCATACACATTCACACAGCCCTCCCTATCCTCAATCCAGACACACAAGAAGCATTATCAGAGTTCAAGGACCCAATCTAGTCAAACGAAAACACTGGAGGAGTTTGCAAACCATGGCCAGCGAAGGGTGTGGCTCAGGAGAGTGTGTGGCCTGAGGAGGATTCTGAGGGCCAGCTAGAAAGGCCACATTTGACCTCCTAGACCTGCGGTTCCCCCTCGCTGTCGTCCTTCTCCCCATCCTCCCACTTACTCTTCCTTCCTGTGGAGCTCCTCCTCTGACTCCGTAAGCCGCTGCTTCAGCACCGCGATCATCTCCACCGCCACGTCCACTTGCCTGTTGAGGGCCCTCTCCCGCCTCTGGACTTCCTGCTTCTTCTGAGAAAGCTGCACAAAAGCTGCCCGAACCTCCAAGAGCTCGGCCGTCTTTTGGGACAGCTCTTTGGTAAGCTTGTCGATCCTCTTCTCGATCGTTTTGTCCACCGCCTCCACCATCCGGTTGAACTTCTCTCTCACGTGGGCCTCGAAGGAGGCTTTCGAGTCACTTGTCGCCAACCCTGGCTTAGAAATCGGCTCGTCGGCGGATTCCCCTGACGTGTAATTTGACCCCAGAGACGCAGGCCTTTCCGCTTCTGCCTCCAATGGCTTCCTGTTCCTGGTGTTCTCCCGGGCCGTGTCGCAGAAGTTGAGATAGGACGTCTTTGGTTTCATGACACCGGGGCCATCGCCAAGCATCCCTGGCGTCAGGGGCTCGGAAGAAGAGATCAGGTCTGCGTCTCTGAGGGAAGAAAAGAGGTTGCATTTTGCCAGAAGGCTCCGATCTTCGTAACTGTGGCTGTATTCCAGATGGGCTCTCAGGGATGACAGGGTCCTGAATCTGGTGCGGTCCCCGCATCGTGGGCAACGGAACGGCATGCAGACACTGACATTTTCAAACGACTCCTGCCAGGGGTATCTGCTTTCTTCAAAAGTGTTCTGTTGCATTACTTTCCAGATCCTAAAAAATAGAGAATCGTAGAATCATAGAATTGTAGAATCTGGAAGGGACTCTGAGCATCACTGAGTCCATCCCCCTGCATCGTACCAGGTTTCTTAGTCTCCACCCCCATCGTTCAGCCCAGACACTGAGGTCCAGCTCTGAGGGCCTTCTGGAGGTTCCCTCACTGCGAGAAGTGAGGTTACAGGGAACCAGGCAGGGCCTTCTCGGCAGTGGTGCCCACCCTGTGGAACGCCCTCTCATCAGATGTCAAGGAAATAAACAACTATCTGACTTTTAGAAGACATCTGAAGGCAGCCCTGTTTAGGGAAGTTTTTAATGTTTGATGCTTTACCGTGTTTTTAATATTCTGTTGGGAGTTACCCAGAGTGGCTGGAGAAACCCAGCCAGATGGGTGGGGTATAAATATAGGTCTGCATCCCAATCTAGCTGTAAGTCAAAGGGTTTGGAACTCTGAATGGAACATTTCTGAATTCTGCATCTGGGAAACTCCCATTTCAGGGGAGGAAACAGAAGAAGCTGCCTTCTACCATTGGTCCATTCCAGCTCAGTATAGACTACACCATCCGGCAGCAGTTTGGGGCAGAACTCTTTCCCAGCCCTCCACTCAAACAGGGATTGAGCCTGCCTCCTTCTGCATGCAAAGCACATGCTCTGCAACTGAGCTAGAGGGAATCAGTTATGCAGATCCGTGATATTTGCATACATTTATTTTCTCTCCCTAGCTGAAGTCAGCGCTAAGATTTGAGCTTATTTTCAGGATTTGGGGGCTAGAATGAGGCTTGAGAAAGAGAAGGGAGCGCAGGAAGAGACCATGGTAGTGGTAGAATCAGCACAGTGGGAGCACATCTGCTGGGCATGCAGAAGGTCCCAGGCTCAACTGCTGGTTACATGCATCTCAGGAAGCAGCACTGGAGCAACACCTAAGAGGCATCTGCTCCTCAAAGTAGAGAAGACTGAACCAGATGGACTCAGGCCCAGTCCAATGTACACTTGCTTGCAGTAAGCTTCATCATGCTCATTGGTCCTTACTTCTGAGTAAACGTGCATAGGTTTGAGCTGCAATTGCATAACTCAGCGTAAGGTGCTTTTCAAGATCTCTAATGGACTGGAAGGAGAGCTGCATGTTCTCTCAAGATAGAGTAGGTTCTTTATAGAGATAAGCACCTGAAGGAGCTCAAGAAATGTTAGGGAGCAGAAGAGGACACTTCTGAGTCTCCTGGAAATTCCTTGCAGCACCTTCCTGCATTTTGGAGCCTTTCTCCATTAAAAGACATGGTACCCTTAATTTTTTTTAAAAAGGGAAATAGCAGCCCAAGGTAAGATCTCTGAGACTAACGGGAAATGAGTGCAATAAGGATGACAACCTTTCAAGATCCTGAATTACCACATTTCAGGATGGTTTTATGAGGTGTTGTTTTTATTATGGGACCTGAATGATTGGGGTTTTTTTTAGTGTCAGCCACCCTGAGCCTTGGATGAACATAACAGCAGCAATTTCATGCTAGGCAACTTGGTCACATGGCAGTGTGCATTCATAGACCTTCAGCTGTCAGTGTGTTTCCGGGATGTGGGCATGACTCACTTAAAGTTAAGCACTTTTCAAGCCTCATTGATTTTGGTGGGAGAGTTAAGCATCTGCTTAATGCTTCCACTTTGCTGTGCTCTTTACTGGTGTACTGTGCTGATTTGTCATAGGTGAGGAGGAAGGACCTTAGCTCAGTGGGACAGAACAACTGTCTTGGATTCAGAAGGTTGCAGGTTTGATCCCTGGTGTCTCCTCTATGAAACCATGAAGAACTGCTGCCAGTCAAAGTAGACAACAGCAAGATAGATGGACTGATTGTCTGACTCAATATAAGGCAGCTTCCGATATCCTGACATACCCATAGAAATAAATGGGACTGAAAGGTGCTTAACTTTGGATGACGCCATTTACTTACTCGTGCATTTCTGCAAACACAAACCAAGCCTTGTGTAGGACAAGTAAATCAAGCTTGGTGTCAAAATAGGTTTGGGAAATTAAACTGGTCGCCTTCAGATTTCAGCCCAGCAGCACAAAGTCATCGAATATCTGATTTGCAAGGCATTTTGAGGCCTCCTCTACATCAAAACCACACACCCTATTCATTGAATACTCATAATTATTGAGTACCTAGAAATCTAGGGCCTGTGAGGGATGCTGGAGAATTTTGGAAAAAGATAAAATCCTATATTTACAAATCTTCTTTGCAAGCTTGCTTTCTATTGGATGTGTCCTTTCGTAAGCATTGTGATATTGATATATCTGGGTCAAACGACGAGGCTTTCTATATTAGTCAAGTTGGGCAACAGACAGCGAAATATTCCATTCCTCCTCCTCCTTATCTTTGGCAAATCAACACCGCACACCACAGCACAGAGAACACAGCAAGGTGAAAGGAAGCTGAGCGCCGGCAAATCTGCAGATGGGGGGATGGAGAGAGAGAGAGAGAGAGAGAGGTGGGAAGTCTGGATGTGCGCGCGTGTGCTTTACAGTGAAGATCAAAAGGGATGCTGGCATTGGGAACAGGGGGGAGAGGACGGCAGAGATGCAGCCTGATACAGAGGAGCGGGTGGGAAGAAGGGGACCCGCATTAGTGGAGGACGGAGAAGCGCTGGCCACTATGCAGAAAGATGTCTGCAGCCAAGCGGGTTTGCTGAATGCCACAGCCAGCGCTTCCTGCACGATTTGGGGGGTTTTGCAGCCTGGCAGGGCGCCTGGCCGGGGATGCCTGCCTGCCTGCCTGCTTGCCTCTCTCTGGCCCAGGTCTCCAATGCATCTTGAGCCACCTGCATCGGGATCCTTCCCGGCCCCCTTGCGCCCTCCTCCCCCCCCCCCCGTGCGCCCCCGGCTCTCCCCGGGCTCCAGGCTGTGGCGCAGAGCGCAGCGCTTACCTGACTTGTTGCTGTGGCGGCGGCGGCGGCGGCGGCGGCTGCCAGCGGTGCTGATGCTGCGGGGAAAAGCCGTTTTCAGCAAAGCCGTAAATCACGCCGAAGCCGGCGCGGTCACACCCCTCGCCCACTCATTCACACCCACCGAGGAGGAGGATGGCGAGGAGAGAGGCCTGCCTGGGTAGAGGCTGGAGAGCAGCGCAGAGATCCACGGGGAGAGAGGGAGGGAGGGATCCTGAAATATCCCACTGGAGGAGGAAGGGAGAGGAAAGCAAGGGGGGGGGGACGCCGAAGAGAGCAGATCGTCTGCCTTGGTTATTTTCCCCTCCAAAGGCGGAGTAAAAGGGACTAGGATCACAGGAGAAGCTTATGCATGTCACTTCTAAGTCCTGCTGTGCTCAGAGGGGCTTAGTGCTCAGTAATGAGTTTAGGATTATTTTTATTTTATTTTTTTGTTTTATCCTACTAAATTTCTATACCACCCACCATCCGAGGACCACAAGGCAGTTTAAAATGTAAAAACCCAAAATTACATAACATAGCACCAAATGGAAAACAAGACCCCCTCTGCGTGCACACGCACACATTAATTAGCAGCCTAAATTACTTAATGCACTCTTCTCATGCTCAGTGGCCCTTTCATCTCTTCTTGCTTCATAATTCCCAAGGTTTGAGCCTTGGCACTGAAACCCAAAACCCAGGGATGAGCCCACTTCCAAATTAAGGCCTGGGACTGGAACATTTCTTTCTCTTCTCCCAGTGCAGTTCACTCAGTGGCCGCTCGGGTACATGCTCAAGGTTATCATGCGGATAGGAATTTTAAAACACTTTGTACACTTAAGTGTTAAAACAGTAATTCTTGACAGTCTTATGGCTGGTGTGATGAAATTCCGAAAGCAAGATACCAGAGTTAATGTGAGCAAGAGAAAGGGTCTATAAAACTTGGGGTGCTGAAAATGCCACAGAATAAATTTAACATGATCATACGACTCAGCTATTCTCTGTGTCAGCCTATGGAACAACAACCTTTCTGCTGTGGCACCACCTGGCGCAAGGATTTGCCTCACTGTCTACCAGCGCATGAATCTTTCCACTAGATTATGATTTTTTTTATATAAAAAAATACAAAGTATTTTTAGTTCTTGAAAGCTCATTTGCTGCTTTTAATGCAGGTCCATTATTTATATTGTTGCTGTAATCCTGCTCGTTTTTTGTTTTTGTTTTTAAGAGAAATTTTTTATTGTTCTAAACATTTTCGATCATTGCTTTCTTGAACTTCCTAGGATGCCATCTTGCTCTTTTAATGGAAAAGCATTCTGCAAATAAAGTAACTCTTGCCAATAAAACAGAGTGGATGCTGTTGTGGAAATTACCTTTAACAGCAGTCAGGATTCAGACACGGAGGAGAGGAAAGCTGGTCCCAGACCCGAGTGGCTGTTGTCACCTGCCGAGGTGTGGGACCCAAAACAGCCTGGAGCTGGGAGCTTTTAGAGCAGTCTTCCTCAACCTGGTGCCCTCCTCCAAATGTTTTGCAGGTGGGAGATGTAGTCTAAAATATCTGGAAGGCTCCAGGTTGGGGAGCCCTGATTTAGAGCCCAAGATCCTTGGACTCAGGCGTAGTTCTCCCTGAGCAAAATATCCTCAAGGAAATTTCTTTTAAAGCGGAGCTTTTTTATTATTTAATAAAGTAGATGATAATCAATTTTGTCGTTTTAATTTAAGTAACATGTGCTTTGACAGAAACGTGCCCAGGTATGTTCTGAAGCAGTCACTTTGGGTTTTTAGTTGTGCCACTCAGTGGAGTACCCAGCCATAACAAGTAATCAATAGTATTAGCTGGCATTAAGGTGTTTGTGGTAACTGACTTTGGTAGTTATTGTCAACTGGCTGCAAGACCAGTTTTCTCCCTCTTTCCTTCAAAACCACTGTGTGATATTACAATATTCACAAGCTGATTTATATTTCGGTCTGGTAACTGAAAAATACTCAAGTATAGCTGGTTGTGAACTCTTGTATTATTATGTAGTAATTGTTTATTTACCTATTTTGTATTTATGGCTTTGGGAATAATTGGATTAGAGTTACCTAAGCAATATAAAAATGTATTTATGTATGTGACCCCTGCTGCTAGAATGTTATACGCCCAAAGATGGAAAGAAGAAAATGTCTCAACAAAAGAAGAATGGTTAAAGAAATTAATGAACTATGCAGAAATGGCAAAACTCAAAAGAAGAATAAGAAATCAAGAAGATCAAGTTTTTAAGAATGGAACTCATTTATAGTATATTTCCAAAGTTATTGTAAACAAATTAAGATGTTAGCAGGGTTAATGTAAACAACCTGCAATAAGAAGAACCAACAACAACAACAACATATAAGTAACATAGAGGGTAAATAACAAATTGGTGTAGTTTGGATATGCAGTAAATTAAAATATAAACAAGGAACTGCAGAAAGAGGAGGAGGGGTGTATAAATGAGAGAATGATTGTGATTTAAATTTATTTTTATTATGTACATTGTAAAAGCTTTTTTCTTTTTTAATGTATTTATGGGTGTATGTTTAAAAAAAGCTTTCTTGTGCTCACCATTCACCCCGGACTGCTCGTGTGTCCACCTTCCTGGCTATCAAAGGGCTCTGCCTTCTCCAAGACTAAACGGGCATCATAACAGAAGAAAAAGTCCTGTCGTGCATATGAAATGTATCATAGGAAGGGAATACACAGCAGGCCTTCTATGCTTGATCTTAACAGTCATTCAGGGCTATGGGGAAGGAGATGCTTCCTAATGTTGGCTGATCCCAGACTGTGTATGGCTTAAAAAGTTAAAAACCAACCAACCAACCTTCACCTTAAATGGAATCCAGCAGGCAGTGTTGTACTTGCAGCTCAGTGCAGTGTGACTCTGGTAGCTCGTGTGAATTGCAAGATTATGGGTTTGGGGGTGGTTTTTTCTACTTGCTGTAGGTAAGGTCCCCCATGGAGCTCATCAGCAGTCAAGCCTGGAAAAGCAGGGGAGAGCTTTGCCAAATCCTCATCTCTCTGGGGATGGCCTCAGTAGTCAAATCCATAAACTGGATCCATGGGATAACCTCAGAACTGCAACTTAATTTAACATCGTGGTAGTGGAGTGGCACCGAACAAAGTGAATAGCTAAGAGAAGTTGCTCCAAAACTGCATGCTACTTTACATCAGACAACGGGAGAGAGAACTATTGAAAAGTTTTTTTTAAGAGTGGTGTAGTATATCTCGTGAATAACATATATAGGCTGCATACCTTGGCTGAAAAACAGGAAGATGCTGATAAAGGGGCCTTTGATGTGATTAAGGCTACCTCCACTAAATGATTCACCAGAAAGCCACATCAAAGGAAGAGGTTTGGACTGCATCTTAGAACTTACTCTAATCTCTCAAGTGTAGGGAGCTATGAGCCATCTTTCAGATGAATCACCTCAGTGTACTGCTGATAAGGCAAAGAAATAAATAATAGGTTGGACATCTAATAAGGTACTGATTAACTCTTTATGCACATCTCTGTAAAAAAGAAAGAAAGAATAAGATCAAAATAGCCGGTGTGCTGTATTGTGGTTAGAGTGTCAGATTAGCACGTGGTAGAAACCAGGGTTCAAATCTCTCACGGGGAGGGGGCGCTTTTATCCAGCTGCTTTCATGTGAATCAATTACAGAAAGCAAGCTAGTGGTGGCTAAATTCAGCTGCTGCCAATAGGCAAATGTCCTAGGCCAGGCCTGTGCGAAGATGAAGGCAAAACCAGCTGGGAATCACGAAGTGTTGGAGGTCACAAAGCATAGAGAAAAACTCTGGTGCATCTATACAATTGGTTGTATAAGTTTAAAACACCTTCCTGAGCTC